TAATTATAAAACCTTTTAGCTGTCTCCGTATTTCCTGGATTGAACCGTAAATGAAAGTACTGAAAAGTTGGGGTTTTTTGAGATATCCTGGCCTGAGAAAAACAAGGCTGGGTGGAAATATTACAAAATCTTTCATAATGTAGAACCACCATGCCAAAGCAACATTTCCCCAAAGAATAAAAACCAAATACGTAAGGATCAAGCCTAGCATCAGATCAACAAAATGGGTCTCTCCCGGTTCTTAGAACTGAACTGTATCAGCATTTTTCTGCTTTAGGGAAAAGCCAGTTTATTCTTACTGTAAATACACTATTTTTAATACAGATTTTCAATGGTTTATTCCTACTCTCTATCTCAGAGAATTTGGTATATACAGAATTTTTTCTATGTATTATATTTCAATCTTTGCTGCTCGTCTTGGAAGCATAGCATGTCTAGTCACAGCTTAATGCTCTCCTGACGCTAAGGGCTCTACAAACCCTGCTGGAAAGCATCCCGCAGCCAACGTCTAGGATGAGACAAAAGGTGGGAACAGGCACAGGGAGGAGCACAAAAGAGCAAGGAGATAGTACTGAGCAGCATGACAGTCCATGGTCTCAGGTCTCACTTGTCTTCCTACATTTATGATTGCACAGGCCTTATGGTAAAGAAAAGCTGAAGTCAAGCTCTGTTTGGCTTCAGGGCTGTTTGCAGAGCTTTTCTCCAAGTGGGAGGAGCAGCAGGGCATGAAGCAATAAAACACTCGCTTTGAGGTGTAACAAGTGATTGATAAAGTCTGGCATCATTGGCTGAGCACTGACATTTCAACAGGACATGGCAGGAAGGGCTGCATGGGGAGAACGACGAAAACACAGGTTGTTCCTGTTTGATGTGACAGAGAAGCAGGAGCCAGCAGAGGGGCAGGAAGAAAATGTGTAGGAGTATTCAGTCACAGAGGGCACAGACAAGTTTTAGACCAGCTAGCTCATGGTTTTGCCTTGATTTGGCCATGGTAGTTGATTTACTTTACGGAGAAGAAAGGTAGAAGGCAAAGCTTGAGTGGAAAGACTCACATTAGCCCTCATTCACATTGAGACCCCACTGAAGAACCAGGCATGGCTGCAGATACACATAAGTACATTTCAATGTTTTTAGCAAGCCCATGTGTAGTTTTTGCACTAGAGAGAAGACAGGAGGCTAAGAGGAAGCAGCCAGGACAAGCCTGAGTCCTGCTGCTTAATCGACTCATTGCACTGCTGGTGCACGCTCAGGTGTTACAGGGATGGATGGAGGATAAAAATGTGAGGAGACTAAATGAATGATGACCATGAATGATCCGCCAGAACGGATGACCTCAAGAGAGAAGGAAAAATGACCAGATGCCAAGTAATATAGCAGGTTTTCCTCCATGTCCACTGTCTCTACCTCCCCTTTATGTCTTTTCTGAGAAGTTTGTAGGTGGGTTACAGGGCTGGAAATGGTGTTCATGGGTGCAGGTGCTACTTAAACACTGGAATCCTTCACCCATCACCTAGCATTTAGTCACAAAGACCCATTCATGTGAAGCACATAGTTGGCATTTTGAAAGCTCTAGTGAGAAAAGGAAATTTAATTAAATCTGATCCCAGATAATGACAGTTGAATTAACAGAGAGAAATGTGAGATATTGCCCCTCATATTGGACTGAAGTGGTAGCTCAGATCTGGCTCTCTGCTGGCCTATTGGAGATCCTCAATCCAGATTTTCAAACACCAATATAAGTATGTTTTGCTCTGGTCATATGTATGGGTTTGGGCCTGGCATATTGAACCAGATTATCCTATGAACCCAGCAAACCCTGCTCTTACAATATGTGGAAGGATGGTTTACCTAACCCTAAGAAAATCCATATATTCAGTAGGGCTGCTAAGGAAACACCTCCACAACACAAAGTAGAACATCCAGTGGGGAGGACAGTTACCAATCTTCAAGGAATTAAAGACTTGCAGTGGAAAAAAGCTATCTGGAGGGCTTTAAGAACATTAATATTTGCCAGGAATAACCTAGTTGTTAAAGGTCCTGTCTGGAAAACAGACTTGGTGACCACCACAGCATGTTCATTCTTTACTTTCTAGGAGTTTTCTTTCTATTATTCTGATGAATCCATTTTGGTTTTTTTCTAGGCAAAAAGCCTTGGCTGCTACTGGACAAAAGACAATAGAAGACGCTGCAAAATGGTGAGTACTTGTGATTTCTAAGGAGTACTTTTGCATTAAACCTGCCTAAAAACCCTTTGTTCATGTGCTGATTCTGTCACTGAATTTGATGCTAGCTGTCATAAAACATCCTTCATCTGAGGGTTTTGTTTTGTTTCATTTTAGTTCATGCAGCGAAAGAAATAATCGTATTTGTTCTTATTCTGGGAAGTGAGGTTATTTGCAGAAGGTCTAGGGTAAATCAAAAAAGCTGAGGAGGAAAGGGCAGTCTTGGGCAGAAGCAGCTGCTTTTACTGCAGTGATGTCAGTTATTTACATTAAAATGTAAAGTACACAAAAAATAAGCAGAAGAAAAACCCATTAGTTAGTATTTCAGAGACAAAATTCGTAAGAAAATAACAACCTTGTATTTCCTTTTTCTGGTCTCTACTATGGATGCCTTCAACCACAGGAAACAAAAGTGGTGCACACACTTACTCGCTGCGATATGCTCTTGATTTCAGGTTGCACTCCCACTGCAATGATCCCTCTTTGGATGACCCAATCCCTCAGGAGTATGCTCTTTACTTGTGTCCCACCGGCCGTTTGCACAACCACTTGCAAGAGTTTTGGAAGGAGAGCAAGCGCCAGTGCGGGAAAAACAGAGCCCACGAGATTTTTCCACACATCACTCTCTGCGACTTCTTCACAGTAAGGCACAAAAGACTTGGAAGGGTCAGATATCAACTCCTGGTGACAGTGGGCCACCTGAAGTTGTCTTACACCAGAACTTATCCTCGGTGATCAAACTAACATGACCTAAGTCCCAGCATGTTTGCTTAATATTTGAGTGTTCAGCCCCTGCATAGGCACCAGGGGCTTTCTTCCCACCACTTGCTTTAGCTACCCACCTTAGGTCTTGGCATATCTAAAAATCAGATGCTGGGATCAGTGGGATGCTTCAGGGCAATCGAGTGACACGTGTCTAGCATCCATCTAGAGCAACCCTGTGCAGTCCAGGCTGCACATGGACCTGCCAGCAGGAAGCACTGCTCCCCACACACAGCTATCGGCAGGCTAGAGAAACCGTGACCATCGCTGCATCAGTCTAGGATGTTAAACCTTCCTGCCCAGGGCAGCTGTGCAGCAGTGACAGCATTATCAAAGGATGTAGACAATTTTGCTATTATGCCTATTGGAATCTCAGGGAAACACCTGTCCCCCCCCCAGAGAGCCCCGGCCAGAAGTCATTGCTATGGTGGCATGTCCCAGTCTTTATCCTTTCTATTGAAGCCTGGATGTTATGAAAAAGAGAAGCAGAATGCAGTGGGATGGAAGGAGCAAGGGGAGCTGGACTGGGGCCTGGCAGTGCAATTGAGTGACTTTGTCAATAATTTAACATGGAAGTTAGGCTCCTGAGCTGAGCTCCTGGTGGGCTGTTATCTGTTTCTGGAGATGCTACTGTCCTTCTAGCTGGCCTTCTGAACGGTGGGTAACCCTCTAGAGAACTTCCCAGCAGAGCTGCTTCTCCCGCATGGGTGAATGTGCCAGTATCAGCAAAGACCAGCAAAGGTCTGGAAAAACTCTGGAGCCAACTGGTATACAGTTTTTGCATGTTGATGGTGCGGCAGATGAACATCAGCTGCAGCTGAGATGTGTTGAAACAGACATGAGCTAGAGCAGTTGGACAAAATTATTATGTTAATCAATCATACTTTCATGCTAAACCGTGGCACTAAGTATAGATGATGAAAATAAGAGTATTTTGTTGCAAAATATTGAATAGCAGGGTACCCTGTGGCCATTAATCACAATTATACAGAACAAAACCCATCAATTAATAATGAATGCCATACTGTTGAAAGGTGTCAAGTTTAAAGGTCTGTCCCTGGAATAGATGACTGAATAGCAACCCTCGCCTCACTCACCTCAGCCCCATTTCAGGTAGCATATTTCTAGGGATAACTGCACCCCTCGGTGCTGTTCTCTGCTCCTCAGCTGTCAGCAAGAGCTGACCTGGGCGCTTCACAGGCAGAAAGCGAGACTCACTGACCTGGCTCCCACCTCCTGCTCCTGACCCAACCCTCTGCTGTTTCCTCACTCCCCACATCTTTTGCAGATCCCACGCTTGTCAGCCCCAGAGAAGCCTGCTGCACAGTGCCGGCCCTGGTCCAGGATCCCACCTGCCCCTCTCCCCACCACAGCCCAGCAATGCAACGTTTCTGTCTTTGGACGGATGGCACAAATTTCATCTTTGTCTCTTCACTGCATAAATTGCTTAATTGCCACCTTTTGTGGAAACATGGCTCTGTACCATCCTTTCATTTGCTGTGGTTAAAGCATGAAGGATCATAGTGACAAAGATGCCTCACAAATTTTGCTAGAATTCTTACCTAGAATTGAAGAAGGAAATTCCTGCCTTATTTCAGACAGGTTACTGCACATCTGTCAGACAGCAAAATCTTTTGGCTCTTTCCTACCCAGACTAGGTACACCTCCTGGTAGAAGGCTCCATCTCCTATTATAGCACCAGGATACGGTGCTGATCAAACTGCCCAATAGTACTGATTTTAATACCAGGAATTTCAGACAAGTTCGTAGGTGTTGTCTTTCTCAGGAAGTGCAATGCCCACACTGTTTTGTTATATTACTGTATGACACAGGCTATGGTAGTGACTATTGAGCTGGTGGGTAAAGCATGCTCCTCCTCTGTTTTCTTTCAGTGTGAAGACCAGAAAGTGGAGTTACTGTATGACACCTTAAAGCGAGTCGGTGACAGCTTTTCACAGTCCTTTCCGCCATTCATTTCTCTATCACTACATTCATCCACCAGTTACCTTGGCTTCTTCATTGGCGACAGCCATGCAAATATCCTCAAAGAGTTTGCTCTGGCATTCTCATCAGAGGCCTCAGCCCTGGCAGGTAGGACCAACATCAGAGGGAAAATGGGTGGGTCGTAGCACAAATGCTTAGGCATGGTACTGAAAGCATCTCCTGTCTTTCCGGGCAAGCTTAGCTGATGTTCAGCAAACACTCTTTCCTCCTACAGCTTTGCAAATCA